ATAATTTATGACATAAAACCAACTCAGGGTTCACCAGCATATCTTTTTCTTTCTTGAACAGAGACTCTTTTGGAGGTTTACTGTTTTTCTGTCTTCTTGAACACCCAGTTGGCCTCAGGAGAAGGCCGCTCACACTGATCGAATAGCATAATGCACATGAACATCTACTGTCACTACATGATCATCCAGGAGGAGCAAATCCTGCGAAGGTAATGACCCGAAGTGACTCAATCTGACTCTAAATTCTATTGAATTGGCCCCGTAAAGTGCCCTATGACATATTCCATCCAAATAAACTAATTTGAGAAGACACCAGCAACTGTGACCCTGACGGACTAGCAGGAGAAGATGGGTGGATAGATTCTAATTAGTTTCTTACCTTCCAATCATCTAATTGACAATCATCATCATGGCAGTAGAACACATTAAAATCTAATCAATAAACATAAACATTTTAGGATTTAAACAACTGCGATTGTACTTACAGATTAGCCACAGCAGAGAGTTTATTTTCATGGTGTCCTCTGGTCATAGGAAGGTCATTGGTTCTTTCTATCATGGGAGGAAAGCTTAATTCCTTTGTTCTTCTAAACGGCAGCAGCTGAGGTTTCTGTCAATCAGCTGACCTGAGAAAAGGGTGGGCTTAACAGTTTGACAAAAATATTGCTTAAATAATCCAGTGACTGCTGGAAGCCGCTAACTGATCAGTAGAAAACACTGGAACCAGAGCGCTTGATGATTTCCCTGACTATCATGTAGATTTAGCTTCTGAACAAGCCTGAGGTGGTCCAGCTCGTGTTTCCTGCAAACGGGACCCTTTTGCCTGTAAACTGAGGCTGGCTGACGTTTATTTCCACAGCAGCTGTGATGTGGGGAGCTTACACCCACTGATGAGAGGAAGTAATCAGTTAGGGCGATGTTGTGGTTATAAAGTTTAAAGTAAAAAAAGATCTCAAAGGCAAAACGAAAGTGACTTAAGTTTGGTCCAACTATAATGAATATAACCAAACAATAAACCTTCCGACCAAAAGGAAACGCTAAATATCTTAAAAACAAATACTGGATTTGAAAGGAAAATCAAAATTGATGTCTTTTTAGGCAATTTTAACTGCAGCCAGAGAGTTCCCACACTCAATCACAAAGAGACCACCTCTCAGAACGGATATAATCAAATCAGCACATAAACTACAAAACTGCACCATGAAAGAGGTCTCTGCAGAACATGTAGAAGATGTATTTAAAGAGCATCGTTGGTCCATTGTTTCAAGGCTAGTCCAGTGGAGGATCTGTAGGTGGAAGCAGGGCTGGAGGCCTGGAGTACCGCAGGGTTGTGTGCTTAAACTCCTTCCTTTCAATCTGCTGCAGGTTGTGCTTTAAAGGAGCTGACCGTGGAAGTGAGAAGGTTTGCAGAAAACAAATGTTCTCATGTTGAACAGTGAATAATCCGTTGGCAGGAAAGAATATCATGTTTAAATTCCTGGTCCAGACCTGCTACATTAAAAAGATGCTAAAGAGGCTGAGAAGCATTGAAAACACAGCAGCTAAAAACAATCATCGCTGCTGAAAAGGTTTTAGTCTCTATTCTAAACATTAGTAAATTACTAAGGTTTTTTTATTATCTATAGGAATACAGTTATTCTTTCTTCTTGTCAGTAGATGTACATAAATAGTCACAGGAAGCCATGACTTCCTGTTTCTTACTTTCTTTTGTCAAACTGTGTAGGCGGGGGGGTCGATTGAGTGCATCTGACAGATATGATAGTACTGAAGTTTTTCTTTCTGTATTTTTAGTATTAAATTAGCTAACCCAAAAGCTAACAATGAGAACAACATGGCCTCTGGGATCATCCGGGCACTGAAGCCCCTCCACCACGTTAAGGCGGTTCAAGGAGGATCACCACGTTTGCATGGTGAAGGACTAGTGAGTGTGTATAACAAAGAGCAGGGGGAGGGGGGGTATGATCTTAGACTGATGACAGGCTGCATCAAAATGGAGTCATCCAGCGACGCAGGAGTAGGATAGGAGCTTGATAAATACGACATTGTCACGGGGAATGAAAGATTTTGAATGAAAACTTTGCATCTTTAAGAGGAATGGATATGGACTCTGATAGGCCATCAACCTCAGGAGCCACAGAAACTAGATTAGAAATGTAATGAGAGGTGTGTGCAAACAAGAGCAGTGAAAAACAAGCAGGCACAAATTTATTGAAAATCTAGAGGGTGATGCCCACACTGAAATAACATTTTCACGGGATGGTTAAAAAAAGAAAGTATAAATGTATGTAAATGTTTGACTTACTTAAAGATGTTAATGTTTGACGAAAAAGCAGCCTTAGAACCCTCTGGCAGTGTCTGGGGTGGCAGGTCTCCTTTTGTTCCTCCTTGCACAAAGGCAGAGGTAGCGGCCCTGCTGAAGGGTTGTTGCCCTCCTATGGCCTCCTCCACATCTCTTAGTGTACTGGCCTGACTCCTGGTAGCGCCTCCAGCCTTTAGACATGAGGCTGACAGACACAGCAAACCTTACCACAGCTCACACTGATGTGCCATCCTGGATTAGCTTCACTTTGGAAGGTTTGAGGCACTAAACAGTCTCCAGCAGTGAAAGCTTTTCCACACTAAACCTGGATGTAGCTGAAGTGAGGAAAACTCTGAGGAGAGTCAACCCAAGAAAAGACCCGGGCCCCGATAAGATACCTGGGCAGGTGTATAAGGAGTTTATCACCTGGCTGGACCAATCCATAGTGCCAGCATGCTTCCAGTCTGCCTCCATTATTCCAGTCCCAAAGAAGCCTCAGGTCGCCTCCCTCAATGATTAGCGGCCTGTCGCACTGACTCCCATCATGATGAAGACCATAAGTGGGGGTAATAACTCCTGATGCATAAAATTCCACCAGTATTTTTTACCAGCAGGTGGATCCATTGCAATCAGCTCCAAGCTGACACCAAAAGTTCAAAGCCCCACAGCTCTGAAGCTGCTATAGCTAGAAATGCAGAAATATTCTGCATTTGTGGTTGACATGATGTAGAACAAATAAAATACAATAGAATCTGCCTTTATTTCAAGAATGTCTTTATTACTGCTGTTCAAAAAAGAACTATCATTTCCAAGAATAAAAAAGAACTTTGTCTGATGTTTGAACTGATGCAGGTTGGTCTGTGTTCTAGTCACCCAATTTGAATTTATATATTAGGAAACTAAAGGGTGTTATCTTTCAAATCATGTATTGCATATGTAATTTTGGCTAACAGTTCCTAAGTTATTTGCTTTTCCATTTGGGTATGCACAATAGGCGAGAATAACCCAAAATGAGGTGGATGTTAAGAGGTGAAAGAACACATCGTCTCCAGTCTGCCGTCATCAGTATAAGCCCCTCCCCTCAGGGCTGCATCCTGACCCCCCCTGCCGTTCACCCTGATGACACACGACTGCGTCCCCAGGTTCACCACCGATCACATGGTGAAGTTTGCAGACGACACCACGG